GTTGTTCGACAGCACTGAAAGGAAATGAGTGGTAAAATTACAGGCCAATTCCTCTCATTAATGTGGGCTTCACTCAGCTGTCCTGAGTGACCCTAATAAGGCTGTCACAAAGGGAGGGAGGATGGTCAGGGGTGCAGGGTGCAGGGAACTGGGTTTGCTCCAAATCACGCCGACCCCTTTCCTTCACCCCACAGCAACCTTCCCCTAGTGAACAAATCCTGTGTGAACGGATGAACTGCACTTCCAAAGAGCAAGTTTGATTTTTCGATCTTTGAACTGCAATCTGTTTCTTCCAGTGAGTAAAGAGAGAAATTATGGCTGACAAAACAAAACAGAAACAAAATATTTAACACTTGTAAAAACAAATAAAATGATCATGCATGGAAAGTCATCTCAGTTTCTTGTGTAATTTGCTCTCCACCACAGGGAAATTTGTTTGAGTTGTTTTGTCAAGGGCTTTCCATTTTTAGCCTGACTTGACGTTGACATCTTTGTCCTGACAGCTTGAAAATGATTCCGAGGATGAAAGTGTACAGAGTAATTCAAAAGGCTTTTAGCACTCAAACCTAATCTTGATCTTTTTGTTTTTCCCTGAGCATATTTTTATGATATTGCCAGGAGGTCGTATGAATTTAGATCCCACTGTAAAGAAGCTTAGGTCGTCCAGCGGAAAACACTGCATTGCGATTTATGTCATTCTGACAGCGGCCGCAGAGCCAGAGATTGGATGAGAATCAAATTTAGGATCACATATGCAACTGGCCTGGATGTGATATGAAAAACTCTGATTTGGTTTGTTCACACTTGTGTTTTAAAATCAGATCTGAGTCACTTGGAGGCCACTTCAGCATGTAATGTGAACGTAGCCAAAGCACCACATCATTTAAACCAACCAACTCCTTTTTTCAGTCTAAAAGTTGTGTAATAGGCCTATTTCATTGTTCGATAAGTCAGTATCGTATTAATGGCTGCTTAATGAAGAGAAACTGTAATCTACACAAGGTACATTTTTGATAAGAAAATGTGTGTACTGATTCTGTTCTCAAAACTAATTATTATGTGCAGAAAATAATCAGTAAGATTTAAGGAAAGAATCAAGTAGAAGCAACAGTCTTGCATAATGATGTAAAATGATTTCCAAATACTTGTCATTATTGCTACTAGTTTGGAGTAATCCAGGCTGTATTTACCTCAGAGTGAAACTGTGTGACATGGAAATTTAATTTCAAATCTCTGATGCAACTTTAAAGGTGTCAGCAATGAAAATCCTTTTCACTTACACCCGAGATGAGGAGTATGATATAATAACTCGGCATGACATTTTCCGTTCCTGTAAGCCACACAGTGTATACACACTGAAGGGCTTAAACAGCTTAAAATTTGCATTAAATTAATTAAACATGAAGTGCAGAAATATTCTGAGGCAGGAACTTTTTCTTGTTTGTTTTTAGCACCATTCCCATTCGAGTTAAGATGCATCCAAATTTCTCTGAATGTCCTTGAGATGTCCTACATAACGTCAAAGGAACTACTTTATTAATACTCAAAGACGGTATTGCAGAGATCTGAGGTGACCCAGAAGCCAAGGGCTACTCTGACAGGATTACAGAGTTGCTCGGCTTCAACATGGGAGGCTGCGCAGAGGAAAGCCAAAAAAACATGACAGCCAGCACAGAGACTTCAAAAAAGGCATGTCAAAGATTCTGAGCCTGAAGCAAAGAAAGTGAAAATGGAGCTATTGGCCTTTAATGTTAAATATTACAGAGTCCATATGAAGTAGTGATGGTGGATGTGCATGTCCATTAGCAGTATATTTGAGTACATTTCAATTTGGAAATAGGAGGTCTTAGACAGATTTTGTAGAAAACCGACCTGACCTGTTGTGCATAAATGACCTTTCAGAAAAGAGAGACCCGATCCAGGGGGGACTGGAGCGCAGTGAGACCCAACCTGAATAGACCCAGGGATTGTTAGACCTGAACCAAAATGCGGTCGACCCAAAAGGACCGTAGCGGAGAGAGAACACAAACACCAGCAGAAGCGTGACGTCCTATCAGTACATTTGATCAGTTAACAAGCAGCCATGGTGGAAAAGAGCAGCAATGTAATAATAATAATCTCCAAAGAACAGATGTGAAGTTATAGAAACATCAATAATTAGTTTATATGCTTCAAAGACAAATTTATATAAATAGTTTTCACCTCCTGCACCAACAAGAAAAACAGGCTCCTGATTGAACTAAAATAAGCTCGGCTTCAGCTTCAGCTCAGATCCACTCAGATATTGGGCTTATTGTCACACAGACTCGAGACCTGTGGCAGTAAAAAGAGACCCGACCCAATTAGACTGTAGAATTCTGATCTGGTCCGACTCGGGACACGGGTTTCATTCAAATGAAGTAATAACTAAGTAATACATTTTATAGCGTGCTTAATGATTGAAATGTTACATTAAATATTTCTGACCAATCAATCAACAGTGCGTTTAGAGTGTACATTTTCATTAAGACTGATGCCCAAATGATCACTGCGCCTCTTCTCATCACCTGTCATCAGCTTTTGCATTTATGAAGCTACAGTAAGTGTCTACAGCCGTACACTCTGGGCTGCTTGTCACTGACAGACACCTGAGAGCTGTAGTTGAGGGGAAAACAGGGGAAATTCCTCAGAAGCCAAAACCAAAAACACAGCGGCTATGATGTCAGATTGGGGCAAAGATTTATGTTCCACCAGCACAGTGATTCTCATCACAGCACCAAATACACTGAGGAATTTTATTTCGAACAAGATTGTGAAAGTCCTTTAAAACTGAGTCGGAGTTCAGACTTGAGTCATGATGAAAAATCTTTGCAGTAGCTTGAAGATGGTTTTTGAGATACTCTTCATTCGTCTTGACAGAGCTTGAGTAAATCTGTGGGTAGAATTACAGGAAATCCAAAACTGATGTGCTCAGTTAGCAGCTGTACATTAAAGACAACTCAAGGCTGTATCGGTGTCAAGATAAAAAAGGTAAAAAAATGAGTGGAATCAATATTCCCATCAAACTCTGGGCGAAAAAGAAAATAAACAAATTTCACAAAATACTGGAACTATTTCTTTAGGAAAATCTTCATTAGTACTGGAGGCAGTAATACTAAAAATCCCATTCATAGTCATCCATTGTCACAGCTACTTAAGTGAAGAGACAGTCTAACACAAAGACCAAATGCTAATTTAAAATAAAATCATTAAAGGCTTTTAACAACTTGTGGTATAATTTCTAAAACTCCTCACTGGAGAAAGCACATCATGAAAGCCTAGTCATTCATTTGCCCAGCCTTGATTTACATCCTGCCACCACCAGCTGCCAGAGCCATTTTGTGTTGGAGTGTTTGGAGAGCTTAGGGGGGCGGGCTGTTGAAGGCGTTTTAGAAAAGGTCTGGGTTCTTTTAATGTGACAGAAAATCTGAACTCGAGGACCTCTCTACTACCCTGCGCACATAGACAAACGACATTTGCAGTTGTATCTAGCCATGGCCGAGCACTCATGTTTTGAGGCCATAGAGTGAAGCAAGAGACTTGTGGCCAAGTGTCAGCTGGTTCCTGTAAACATATATAAATACCTTATACACTCGCTGCTTTATGCCAGAGGCAGCAAGAGAAAAATGAGGTCTGAACTGTGACTTGTGTGTGGGAGGGAAAAAGATTGTAAGGCAGGGATGGTTATACCATTGAAAAGAGGAAATGAGGGTGAAGGAGAGAGGGAAAATGGGGTGAGCAAGAGAGGTTTCCTAAGCTAATAAAATGCTTGGAGGGATGGAAGCTGCCAGCCAGCATTCCTGTGCCATTAGATAAGTTAGTTCACTGCAGCCTCCAGTTTCTCTGCAGTGCTGAAGTGGCAAGCTGAGGTCACCACCGGGGAGTGAGCGGGGGTGGTGGGGGCAATAAATTCAGAGTGTTGTTCTGCACCGTCGTTGCTCTTAATCCTCTGAAGCTGTTTGGTCGATGATTTATTTTTGAATATACGGGCAAAATCTACAAAAATCTGCACTCAGTGCTGTGCGGTTAAATGTACAAAGTGCAGGGATTTAGTTGAGTCATTTTGTACAAATCTGCATACTTGTGACATTTCGGTGACGTGGGAGCTGTTGCCAAGTGAAGAGTATTCTGTTTCTTGAGGAGAAACATACATAGAGAGTGGTGTGATCCTCTGGAACTAATTTTAGATTTTAAATGCAAGGTCAGATATCACACTCAGTACAGGTCGGATTGTGTAGCTCACACTGAGTGCTACCAAATTCACACTAGCCAAATGGCAACACAGTAGCTTCTAAGTGTGACAGATTGCAGCAATTCCAGTGAAGTCAAGGAGTTTTTCTTGCACACTCCGTTACAGTCCGTCTAACTGAACCATTCACGCTGAAATCGTTTAAGCCAGTAGCTTGTTGTTTGTTTTTAAGAAGCTGTAGTAGTAGATCTATATTATCCCCAAGGTAGCAAATTCCTGGGTTGCAAAGTGAGACAGAGGACTACAAAATATTATTTGCCTCCAAATAATTCTCCTTCAGGGAGATCTCCTGTACTGTGAGATGGCTTATTTAAATGGAAAGGCTGTTCAGTGAGTGAGTATTCCCCGGTAACCTCACTGTGATCATTCTTAGCGAGACCTTCTGCCAGTATTTTATACAGGTTTTACAATACCGACTGCAGTTGAGTCTGTTCCAAGTCATTTAGAAGATATCAGTCTGTCTTGCCCCTACGGCTTTACTGTGTGAAGAAGATTAAAAAAGGATCTTTCACTTGTATGACTTGTATAACTGTCTTGCATATGACACCCTTTAGCAAAGATCAACACGTAGATGCAGCAGACACGATGCTCTTTGTGCTCACATAGTGCAGTCAGTTATAAAGTAATCTCAGTGTAAAACATTCTCTCTTGCTTTTAACTGTATTTCACTATATTATTGTCATATTTGGCATAAAGTAAATGACCTTTGTCTCTTCTCTTCTTTGTCTCGCAGGTATGCTGGTGGTCAATGTTACTTGGAGAAACAAGACGTATGTGGGCACCCTGTTGGACTGTACACGGCATGACTGGGCTCCCCCCAGGTAAGGAGCATTTTTATTTTCACTAGAGAGCGCAGGCGGACGTTTTTTTTTTTTTTTTAATTTAAATATGCATCACCTAATCTGCACTTGTTATGTTAATGACATATCACTTGTGTGGTGTTGTTAAAACTAAGGCTACATGCACACATTTTGCATAGCATTTGCACTTTACAAAGACTTTACTGTTACACATGGTAGTTGTAGATGTCGAGGTAGAAAAGAGTCATGATTACTATGAATTATTGATACATTCTCTCTATCTAAGCTGCACTTGGTCTCTTAACCTTTTCATATTCTGTGTGATATGAATCTGCTGCAGCAGAATCAGCTCAAGTATATATAGCTGAATGCACTGACTTGCCTATGTGCAGCTGGACCTTCCATGTTAGTCTTTATCTCGAGCCTGGAGAAGCAGGATTCACTGGCAAACGGCTGACATCCCAGGAGGTAGTTGTGGAAATAGAAAGCAGCTCTAACAAGCCAGATTGCAAAATCCAATTATTGGACTAATAGCTTTTCCTCAACACTGTATAACATTCTCTATCACAAAGGCTGCAATTTCTTAGATCAGTGTTATGTGGGTGGTAGTTTAAGGTGTTCGTAATTTCTGAACATTTGCCTTTGTTATGCTAAATACACAGGTTGTGTAAAATATATTTCCAAACACTTGCTTTGATTTGGAACACCTGCACTGTATCTACATGTAAATATAAATCTATATTTTAAACGCATGGTTAAGTGCAGTAGAAAAAAAAAAAATCAAGATTAAAGCAGCACTAATGGAAAACAAGGATAGGCTGTATCACACTAATGTATCACAGTATATCACAATAATGTTCAGTAAGTGAGGTTTGCACAGTAAGTGAGGTTTGCTGGGCTGTATTTGCACCAACATGGTCTTACAGTTTGCAGCACGACTACATTAGGGACACACCATGAATAATTCAGAAAGCTTTCAGCGGACTGAATATAAACCCGGGCTTGTAATGAGTCTAAATTCCTCTACCACTCTCAGACTACGGATGTATTCACATCCCCTGCTGGGGCTGAAATTGTTTGGAGAGACTTGTAGAGGAAGCTGTGAGTCATAGCAGCCCAATGTTTCTCTTTGTCACAGATTGCTAACCTTCACTGCTGTGCAGAAAGATAATTACATTACTGTTATGGAGAGATAAGGCCAAACTGCTATTTTAAGTATTTGAATGACTGTATGTTTTGATTACAAAGCAGCTGGAATGTTCACTGCTGTCTTTTCCAATGATGTTTACATTTTCATTTGGAAAATCGTGACTATGTTTAAAGTGCTTACTCACTTGTAGTGCGCAAAATATCAGCTTGATATGCAATGAGAGGACAGGGACATAACAATGGTGTACATATTCACAATATCTTTGCCTTTGCTGTTTATTTTGGGTTCGGGACTCAAAAGGACTGAAACTACTTTACGTTGTCATCGTTGGTTATTGTTATGACTTATTTTCTGTATTCGGAATTCTGTCAGGTAATGTGGAAGTGTGGCATGTTATTTGGCATACCAATACAGTAAATAACTGTGTATGTGAGATTCTCAGTAAGAAATATAAACAAACCTCTGGTAGAACAAATTAACTTGAGAAGAATATGGCCAACCACAGACATATCCTAAAATCTTGTAAATACGTGTTGAATAGAGGTAAACAATAATGTCTTCAGAAGCATAGCAGTGTTTCCCATATATTGATTTGTTTGTGGCGGCCTGCCACAATATTAACATTGACAGCCATTAGAGTCATATAGTGATTTTCTTTTCTTTTTTTTTTTACAATTTCTAATGGGTCAAAATCTTGTACACCTGTGCGTAGCACATTGATCTGCTCTCCTTGCCCCGCTCTCACTCTCACAAATGCATTGACAACGGACCTGTCTGTCATAGTCGGACTGGCCATCGGTGGGCTGGTGGGCCGTTAAAAAAAATCCATAAAATTTTTACCATCCCTGTCTGTCTCTTTACCGGCCCTCTCTGTGTCTGTGATTCGCGTGCGGGAGCTTGCTTGTATGTGCTGGACTGAGCTCACTGGCCAATCACAATATGCAATCAACCCATGTTATTTGTTTGACTTAACATAAAGCAGTGGAGCTGTATATGTTGTTCAGGTACCACTTGGGAATTAAAATATTTGCCCCCTAAAATCCTTGGGAAACACTGCATAGGTATTAAAAAAAAAAAAAAACAACATTAGAGAGCATTACAATCGCCAAACCTGACAATTTTTCATTTAACTTTTACAATCAAATGGTTTGGTTCTGTGTAGTTACGTAACAATAAATAATGAGGTTCCATTACACTTAATGGACTGCACCAATGACGATTTTGGTGTGTGATAGTAAAGGAGTTAAATACTGATACTTATTTTTGATCTTATTAAGATCAATTATTGAAATTTCTTCATGTTCTTCATGAAAGAATGTTGATCGTTGTCAAAAAAGCCAATTATATCCACAGTGATTTAATGTTATTTAATGTTAAAAAATAATGTTAAAATAATAAAAATTTAAATGGCCAATTGGGTAAATTGTTTTTATTGCCAGTGTGTTATTCAGTCCCCACAGCCATGGTCATTTCAAAATTTTTGGAGTCATGGATTTTCCTTTGTTTCATTTCAGAATCTAAACTAAAGCAGAGTTGCATGGAAATCAGCCATTGATACTGTGACATCACTAATTCTTATTTTCAACACTACTGCAGGTTTTGTGAATCCCCTACAAGTGATCTGGAGATGAGAAATGGCCGCGGTCGAGGTAAGCGAATGAGACCGAACAGCAACACCCCTATCAACGAGAACAGCAACTCATCTGACAACAAGGGTACCACCAACAACAAGACACGTGCTGCTTCTAACAGCAAGGGCCGAAGGGGCAGCCAGACGCCATCAGAGCGCCGTACTCCACCGAACAGTAACACAGAGGACATCAAGGCCAGTCCCTCCTCAGCTGGAAAACGCAAGACCAAACCAGCCTCAGACATGGAACCGAATTCCAGCTCAGAGGACACCAAAGGCAACAAACGTATGCGGACAAACTCCAACAGTGGAGGGGTGGGACCAACAGGTCTGCCTATCCCTTCTATTAAGACTGAGCCACTTCCACCTCCCCTCGATCGCAGCTGCCCCTCTCCAGTTCTTATTGACTGCCCACACCCTAACTGCAACAAGAAGTACAAGCACATCAATGGTCTGAAGTACCACCAAGCCCGTGCCCACAATGATGATGACATTAAGTTGGACTTAGATGGAGACAGTGAATACGGAGAGGATTCAACTCTCCACCCTGAACCAGGGAACTGTAATGGAGCCTCTATCTCTCAGAAAGGATCCTTGTCTCCAGCACGTTCAGTTACTCCAAAAGGCAGGAACTTTGATGCTCAAAGTCCTTCCCCATCTCCTGGCAAGTTTGGTTCAAAGCAGAGTAAAAAGAAAATTGCTGAGACAGATCCAGAAACGGGAGGTACACCAATGGACGGGTGTGAGGATGGGCCATGCCTCACTGATGAGGCCAGTAACGATGGTTTAGATGATAAGAGAGGATCAGACAAGTCCAAAAAGGGTAGCACTGGCACAAAGGCTGATAAAATGGCCCAGAAAAACATGAAGTCTCCACGGCCCATTGGCCCTGGCTCTACTGCATCCCAGCAAATGTACTCTTTTCCTCCTGGAAACCCAAATTCTTCCCCAGGGCTTACCCCAATGATACAAGGTATCCCTAAGAGTCCGCAAATGAAAGGCACACAGCCTAAACCCCCTGCCATTGGAGATCCTGCCTCAGGTAGTTCCAAAGACAAGAAGAAGAAAGACAAGAAGAAAAAAGATAGTGGAAAGGAGGCTGACAGCCCCAAGCCTCCGGGAAAGGGAGGAAAACTAGAGGAAGGAAAGCTTCCATACTCTGAACCTTCTGATCAAGGAAACAAGGGGGAAGGACTCCTCAATGGCTCCTCAGATCCTCATCAGAGTCGCTTGGCCAGTATCAAGGCTGAGGCTGACAAGATTTACAGCTTTTCTGACAATGCCCCTAGCCCATCCATTGGTGTAGCCAGTCGAATAGATGGCAGTGGGATGCCGCAGCCTCTAACGCCACTTCATGTGGTGAACCAGAATGGTGCTGACAATTCATCAGTCAAAACTAATAGCCCAGCATATTCAGACATTTCAGATGCTGGTGAGGATGGTGAAGGGAAACTAGAAGGTGTCAAAGTCAGGACAGAGGACCAAGCCATCAGGGAAAGTGTCAAAAAAGCACTCTTTCCAAACCAGACACCCAACAAAGAGTCCCCGTACTATGCCGGCTATGATGCGTATTACTCACCCAATTACGTCAACCCCAGTCCCAGCGGGCCCAATCAAGGCACGCCAGTGGCTGAAGGTCAGGTTAAGATCAAAAGGGATGATGACCAAGACCAAGTTGAGGAGAAAGTCAAAGTGGAGGTTCATGAAGACCGCAAACCTGACAGCAGTGCTCCTGGCCAGCAGCAGCAACAGCAGCAGCAGCAGCAGCAGCAGCAGCAGCAGCAGCAGCAGCAGCAACAGCAACAGCAACAGCAACAGCAGCAACAGCAACAGCAGCAACAGCAACCCTCAGTCATCCAACAGCGATCCAACATGTACATGCAACCTCTTTACTACAACCAGTATGCTTATGTCCCCCCATATGCATACCATCCCGATCAAGCCTACCATAACCACTTGATGAACACCAACCCAGCCTACCGGCAACAGTATGAGGAGCG